GCCGGGTAGACGCACGTTTTCGCCGATAGTTCATTAGTTCTGTAAAACCAAAGACAGTCTAGATAAGAACGGAAAACGGCTACACTAGGGCAACACGAATTGAAGGAACATACCACAGAGGTGCCATCTTCCAGGTTCTGAATTTTGTTCACAACATGTGGAGGCAGCTGGCGTTGACCTGCAGTAACGGGACCTCCAGTGCTCGTGAAAGTAGCTTCGTCGGCCTTCCTTCATAATCAATTCCATTGTTCTGAAGAGCGATTGGTACAGATGTTTGGTTGGTGAATTCGACGTATGCATACGCACAAGGCAGCGTGTCAGGAGCTATTGCCATACGAAGGTACATTACCTGCAATTAAGGGAAACTTAGTATATGAGGGATGATTTTGTTATATAGATATATGAAAACTACTGCAAACTTGCCTCTCCAACATAGCTGTTGAAAAAGTCGAGAACGGCTTGCCCATCAACACCTTTGGGCAAATTGCCAACATAAATTGTTCTTCTGATTTCCTCCACTTTTGCTAGGTCGGTATTTCCAGGAAGTGGTGGATAGGATGGAAGTCCAAGAGCTTCCATTTGTGGATCCACTGTAAGCAACTGAAATAGATGGAACAAATTAGTTGTGAACAAGAGCTCTACGGACACAGAAAAGTTTAGAGATCCTAGCTCGCTGAGCCTTTTCCATAGCAGGTAAGCCGCAAGCTTTAACTTTAAAGTTTCAACTTGAAACTTGAAATCGATTTTTGAAAAGTTGAAAGTTCAAAAGCGGAACTAAAAAAAAGAATTGAGCTATAAATCAAAATTTTATATCATGTTGCAGGAGCCGGGTAGACGCACGTTTTCGCGATAGTTCATTAGTTCTGTAAAACCAAAGACAGTCTAGATAAGAATGGAAAACGGCTACACTAGGGCAACACGAATTGAAGGGACATTACCACAGAGGTGCCATCTTCCAGGTTCTGAATTTTGTTCACAACATGTGGAGGCAGCTGGCGTTGACCTGCAGTAACGGGACCTCCAGTGCTCGTGAAAGTAGCTTCGTCGGGAATAACACCTCAACCACACAAACGTAAGTAACACGAGTATGCAAACATTCGAAGTGATGAGAATAAGCCCTTACTTTGAAGATAAGGAGCGCAAACAATGGCTCGATCAATAAGAACTGTATTTGTCAAATGCTGGCCAACTTCCACTGCACGATCATCATCATACTTTATGAAGGCACACTTCGAAGTCGTTGACGAGGTGATGTTCATATCAGAAGGGTACACCTGAACAATTATTATCAATAGCAAAAACAAACTAAAACATCTTCGTAAATAGAGTGGTCCCTAGACACGTTCAATTGCGGTTGTGGAATATTGCTTCTCACATGTATTCCACGGATAGCAGCTACCGCAACCAGTAACATGCTTTGCCGCCATGCGAAAACGTCCACATAAGAATCATATTTTACTTCTGTCGAAATTTGATGTTTGGCTGAAACCCTCTCCAACACTTGAAAAAAAAGTAGCCCCCTTCCAGACTTCCTCTCTCTCGCATGATCCTGGACTAGCCAGAGAGAACGCTATTTCCCTCCTCGAACTTAAGGGCAACTAGTTTTTGCAGCCACTCTCACTGATGAATTTGGAAGGGATCTGCATACTCTATTATGGGAGTTATCATGGTTTTCGGTGGTAAGTGAGTTGGGGGGGGGAGACCACGGCAGTGATCGCGGCGTCTGTCAAAATGCAACTGGCACCAAAAGCCCCGAGCCCGTAGCTCAAATAGCCAAAAAGATCAACACAGCCCCAATTTATCGTGCTCATAACGTTACCCCTCCATCCTTGGCTTAGGTTTAGTCCACGCGCTTGAGAAACGGCGCTGATGTGGTTCCCCCCCAACTCACTTAGTACCTGTTTTTCTGTAAGAACCTTCTCTGTTCCCCAACAAGATCATATCCCCTTCCCTTTGAGGTTCCAGGCAACGCATTACTTCGCCCTCAAACTAGATTCATAAGAATGTTTCGAAAAAAGAAGGATTACTGGACAAAAAGACTCACCTTCATTTCTTCGATTCTCCCAATGTACTGGAACATAGTGAAGATCTGATCTTTAGTGGCAGTCACAGATATATTTGAAACTTGCAATATCCTAATCTTCTCCTTCTTAGTGTCCGCCCCCATTTTTACCTAAAAAAAGCATGTGTAAACTACTGAAAACCACACAGACATCGCAAAGAAATAGAATGGCAAAGAAAACGACTAGGGCTTACAACAAGGACGATTAGACCGACGTCATAGTCGGCGACGGACAAGCGATGGAGCGATCGCGATCGCTCCATCGCTTGGTCCGTCGCCGACTATGACGTCGGTCTGGATAACGACAACCGGAAAAAAACTAAACAACGTTCTAATTGGAGCAGTTTGAGTGAGACGGCACCGCTCCCGCTTGCAGAACCATAGAACAGTTCTTTAAATGTGAAATACCAGTGTTCCCCAGCCATCATAACGCTTCCAGCGTTTATTAGCACCCCATCCGAATGAATTGACAAGCAACAAGAAATTAATAAGAGAAATACCACAAATTGAACGAGAGTATTGCAAGTGACGTATTGGCGCGTAAATGATGTGTAGGTACGTGGAATGCAGAAAACCCACTGTGACTGACGGCAAAACACTTTTCCGCTCGAGACCCGCTTCCTAAATTCCCGTCGCCTTTTATTTGGCGTATTTTCGAATTTTGATGAGCTCCTATTTGACTTTGGTTCGGTTCTGGCTGATGCTGTATCAGTTCCTTTTCTTTACTTTTATCTCATGACTCTGCTACTCTAAGCCTCGTTCAGCTTCTGTAGGCCAATTTTCACCTCTTGAGTGCGTGGTAGTTTTGTGTTGTTTAAGAGTTGTTTCCTAATAAATACGTTGTACAACTCGGAACTCCTGTGTATGCTGTACCTCATTCGATATTCTTACAGAAAGAAGACAAAATGGCCGATGATGGAGTTAATCCGAAGGCCTATCCACTCGCTGATACCCAACTTTCTCAGAAACTTCTGGATCTTGTACAGCAAGCTATGAACTATAAACAGTTGAAGAAAGGCGCAAATGAGGCAACCAAAACCTTGAACAGAGGAATTTCGGAGGTAGGATTTTATCGATTTACGCTTTGGATCGTCCATCATTACAATATCTTTTAGGTGATTATAATGGCGGCTGATGCCGAACCTCTTGAGATTATTCTGCATTTACCTCTTCTCTGTGAAGACAAGAACGTACCGTATGTTTTCGTAAGGAGCAAGGCTGCCCTCGGACGTGCTTGTGGTGTCACTCGCCCAGTTATTGCTGTTTCTATTACTCAGAATGAAGGATCTCAGCTCAAATCTCAGATTCAAAAACTCAAAGAGGATGTTGAGAAACTTCTCATTTGATATGTTGTTATTTTTTGTTGACCAGGTATGCAAATTATCTGTTGCTGATGTAGTTATTTGTTACGTTTGGAATTGTTACCTACTATTGTGATGTGAATAAAGCTGACGAGTGTATCAGATTTGGTGTCCTGAAGATTTGGAATTTTTTTAAGGGTAGGGGTCCACAACTGCTCTCATCACTTGATATGCCTAGTATTAGGAATGAGTAAAACAAGCTGCAAGAGTTCGGTTATTCGGTTTGAGGAGATAAGCGCCGGAGAAGCGGTACTAGTATTAACGTGTTCTAAGTAGACGCTAGTTTTGGTGCATTCGTAACCGAATGCACCAAAACTAGCGTCAACTTAGAACGGTGCGACTGTCAAGGTGGCATCTCTTCGCGTCCGTGAAGCTTTTTTAGAAGTGTATTGAAAGCATCATGCAGCAATTAAGGAATTATGGTAATTTTTTCTACGCTACCTCAAAATTACGACATTTTGGAAAGCACCTTTCTAGAA